CCTCTTTGTGGAGGGTGTCAATGATCGTCTTCTGGACCATTGCCAGGTCAGCAGTCTTCCCCGTTATTGTGGTTTTAAAGAACAAGAGATACCCAGAATGTATACTGTAGGGATGGTCATTTAATGAAACTCAAATGTAAATGTAATATTGTGAGATACTGTATTTTTGACTTCATGAGCTGTAAGCTCTAATCATAAAAATTAAAAAAAAAAAAAATTATTTGAATGTTAAGGAATATATATTTTAAAACAAAAAAAAAACGTTTGAAATGTTTTACTTTACATGCAATGAATCTAGAATATATGAGTTTCACTTTTTGAAATAAGTTACAAAAAAGTACTTTTTCAGGATATACAAATTTTTTGAGATGCACCTGTACACTGCCTATGGACCCAGTTTAGTCCATATTTGTATTCAAACTGACCCGACATAAAATTATATCCAAGTCTCTGTTCACAGCAAAATGTCACCTTGCTCATTTTTTATTCATTTTTAACTTAAATTATTTTGATACATTGTGTACAAAATACAAGTGTTGATGGAAAGTAAATGTGTTTTAGTAAAATACAAATATAGATGCTCAAGAGGATAAAGGCAGAAATCCTTCAAAAATCTTGTTTTAAACATCAGACCGTGTTCATTCAGCACATGGAGGAGCTATTGACTAACTGGGATGCAGGTTTGAATCTGATCTGGATCAAGTCCCGATCTCATCCCTACCTTTCAGTCTGCACTCCCTTTTCCTATAAAATAAAAGACACACACACACACAAGCAATATAAAAAGTAAATATTTGTATTTATGTTGGTTTCTAGATTTTTTAACAGAGTATTTTGTAAAGAGTGCATGAGGCCTGCATGATTCTTAATTCTTCTCAAGACTCAATTTGCTCATACAGTTGTGACTTTAAGTTTCACATAAGCAGGATAAAGTCTGTTCATGTATCTCCAATTACACTTGCAGCTGCAAAGTGAACTAATGACCCTTTAAACAAATGAAATGATCAAGTTCTTTACTGTATATTTACAATACATCAATGCATATTACAATACAATACACTGGCAAAAAAGAAGATTAAACAAAATGCAAATCCAAAATGCAGACTTTCTGAAATGGTGCAGGTGAAAGCAAGAACTTCAAAGGAGGAGGAAAATGGGTACATAAATGCTTTTAACTGGTAATACTAAAGTTTAGTTAGTCTGGGCTGCTGTAGGAGGACAGACTCCATCCATACCTCTTTTATCAGTCAAAGTATCATCGTTTAATGTACAGAGTGTAATGAAACAAACATAAACTATTACTTGGATGTTTCTTCACAGAACTAAGACAATATATGTGCATTATCAGACAAACACATACAATAACTGATTTAATAGACATTTAAACAATCAATATACTGAATATATAAAGGGAGATATGATGTAAAATTGACATAAATGTACATTAAATGTATACAGAAATAAAAAAACTAAATTAAAAGTACTGAATCTGTAAATGTAGGCCATAATGATTGACAACTTTCATTTCAGACTTTCAGTTGGTTTATATCATTTGATATATTTGAATTCTAAATTTGACAACCCAATTATAATTAGCAATATTTTAAATGCTTCAGTATAGGTGACTTTAATTCCAACATCATTATGATGTAGGCCTTATGCTAAAGACTGATATTCCTGCTAGTCCACCTCAGAGCTTTTCTTCCTCCTCAATTTCACCTGTAAATAAAACAAAATGATTTGTATGAATACTAACAACCATCATTCAATATCACGCATGCATATTTATATTAATGCAGCATTGTTTAATTGCGAAAAAGTTTTAATATGGTAATTTTAAAGTCAGAGCCTCTTCCACCTGTATGCATTAGTCATCATTTCAAATAATCATAAACAAAAGGTAGTATAATAAACTTCACATTTATTAAAATAATATTATTTGAAGCTGTTTAAATAAAAAAGCATGTGTGTATAAAGACATTAAATTCATAGCTGTAGGTTTTGAATAGCGTTTGCATTATGAATTGCTGTTTGGTGACATCTTGCCAAAAATCCCCATTCTCAAAGACATTTTACATTTTGGTATACAGACATCACACATATTAATTTATTACAGTATTAGTGAGGGCCTTCTAGGGATCTCTCACCTGGTGATGACTGGTTTTATCCTGTTGAGCTTTAGATGTAATCCGTCCACCAAAGTTCCCAATGAAGTTTGCACCAGTGCACCTAGTAAGCCAATGTTTTTTATTAGTTACACATTTAAAACTATTTGTCGTACATATATTTCTAAAACAATAATAATGTTTTAAATATAACATTTAAAACACAAATTGCATTCATATGTTTGGCTGTTCATGTTAGGGTGAATGCAACCAAGTGATGTTTACTCACCTCAGTTTACCGTTTGTGTCTCGCAGTACATCAATGAGCTGCTGCTTTGAGTTTCCAATGTTACTGTTACTCAGATCAAGCTCTTTTAGAAACACCAGTGCTTTTGTGTTTGTCAAAGACTGAGTTAAAGAAGAAACATCTGTAATGGCACAGTCATTAAGACTAGAAAGAGACAAACACAGAGAAGATGAAATATCATTTTACTTTCCCACTGTAAGAAAGGCCACCCCTCGAAAGTGAACTCTTCCGAACCCTCCCGCCGGTGTTCGTGATTTGGACTGTTCCAAAACTTTCTGCAGAGTGGATTACAAGACAGTATTATATATTGTAGTATATATTGAGGCTGGATGTGTAGATGTGTTAATAGTCAATAGTTAATAAGTTTAATTCGTTAGAAGTGCCCCGTTTAAGGATTGTGTGGATATATGTGTACGTGCAACTAATAGTAAGTATGTTTACCTAATTTATATACATAAACATATACAAAATTGCTTATAATAAATGCATTAAATATCATTTTTTTTAACAACATTTACTCAAAAGCCACACAAAATCTGACAATGAAATTGTTCAAGTAGCTCAATGTAACAATCACAGGTTTTTCAGTGTGATAAAGTTCACCTTGTATTGTGGCGCGAGTCTCTTCAGCTCATCCAGATGAACATCGACTCCCATCACCCCTAAAATCAGCTGATTCTGAATGCACAAACACTGACATCAATGATATGAACACTACAGAGTTCGTAGTCAGTGCTGATCCATCAGTGACTGAGCATAACCTGAGAGTTTCCGTCCACAGTGAGGTTGAACACCGGCATCGTCCCCGTCACCACCAGCCCCAGACCCTGTAAATGAACCACATCACACAAACTCAATAAACTCACAATGCTTTATGAGGCATCAGAGTATGACGAAACCAGAGCGGGCCGTATGTTTCACACACAGCAGGCGGTGAAGCGACTCTCACCAGCGCGTCCTGATAGACGTTGGTCCATTGCACCTGCTTGGCACTTCTTCCTGCCAGAACCATGGGGCGGCCCAACACGTCCAGATATTCCTGCCACACACATTCATTTAAGCATTTTACCTTTCATTAATACGCCATTTGTGTTTGGAAAAAATCTAATATACATATTGATCATTTTTGATAATTTCTATATAGAATATCTTAGTGTTTATGTATTTGCTCTGAAATAAAATAATGTTTTTTTATTTATTTAGAGGAACCATAAAATAAAAATGTATAGCACAAGATAGACAATACAGTAAAAAAAATTGTTAAAATAATCAAGGCATGTTTCCACACTGTATTTTACTAAATAAATACAAGGAATGATGATATTTAATTTTAATAGAAAAAATATATAATTTAATTAATTATATGCACCAATATAACAATACAAAATACATATGGATATTTACCAAAATATATTTTAATACATGACAAGTGTCAACCAGAGACTTCCATCATGAACATTTCTGATGCGCAAGAATTTTATGAAACAAACCAGTAACAAATCGATTAATTGAAGCGAACACTTTGAACAGATTCACTTAAATTAATATGTACATGTACCAGTTCACTGAATTTTGAATCATACTTGTGAACTGAAAGAGTAAAGCACACATACATTGTAAAAAACAAATCAGTTACGAATTTATTCCCTGAAATGAAATTATTTCCTAAAATAATTAACACTTTCAACTCAAATGTTGATTTTTGCAACTAAACATGGAATCAATTTGAATCACACTATTAAAGTATTTGTTGATCACAAATTTGTGAGTTGTGTGAATGAACATTTTGTGAGTGAAGCATAAAACAAATCAGTTATGAATCGATTCATTGAAACAAACATTTTTTTTTTTACTGAAATGAATAAAATGTACCAACTTGATGAAATTTGAATCAGTTTGAATCACACTATTAAAGTGTTTTGTTGCTCTCAAACTTGAGTTGTGAGACAATGAACATTTTGAGTGAAGATTCGATTAACTGATACAAACATTTTCCAATTAAATGAATCAAATGTATCAAATCATTTTAAGT